TCATCGTGCGAAGAAGAGTACATAATTGTTTCTCTTTGTGCATGTCAAGCAACATGGATGGTGAACTTGGTCGAAGAAATCACAGAGAAAGATCATGGAGCAATTACCATGAAGATCGTTAACATGTCAGTTATCAACCTGACAAAGAATTCGATAGCACATGGTCGAAGCAAGCACATCGAGATAAGATTCCATTATCTTTGAGAGTAGATAGCATATGGGAAGATGAACTTGGAACACAGCAAAATTGAGAATCAGATTGCAGACATCATGATGAATGGTGTGCAGACCGAAGTGTTCAGAAGACTACGAGCTATGATGAATATAGATAGCTTTAACACAATGAATTAGGTGGTGTGTTAAAAGTGTAATTCCTTATGTCAAAAGCAGCATGTTGCTCGACATAAGGTGTGTCAAAATAGCCTAAGTGTGTGTGTATGTTGAATTGTTTGACGAGTTGTGTATGTCGAAGGGTCGAAGCAAGTTGCTTCACACGGGATTTTAACTTAGGTTTAAAATAGGTATTTTGGGTTTTTATAATTTTGAGATTTTTGACTTAGAAAGCAAGTTAGCTCAATTATAAATAGAGTGAGTAACTCTTATTTTGTAATCAACATAGAACTTGTATTCACAGAATTTGCAGTTGCAAGTGAATAAAGATTTTCCACAATTTGTGGGCAGCGAGGAACTATCTAGAAACCCTAATCTTTCCTTCTTTAATTTTATTTTATTTTTATCGTTATTGTGTAGTGATAACAATCTTATTTATCAAAATTGATAGAAATTCTTCATAGATTTTAGTGAATTTATAACCGGTATCTCTCTGGATACTTACTCATATGAAATAAAACATAAAACTGAAGAGATTAAATCTTTACAAGTTTCTTGAATAAAATCCAGAATAGTTTCATTCTTCATTATCAAAACCATAACCTTTACTAACCCAACCCGAATTATAATGAATATCAATGCAACAATGATATGCTCCGAAAACATTAAAGGCATATCACAAAAAATACATTATCTTGTCAATTTTTACCCCATATTGTCCTAATTGTGCCACGAGATGAAATTTATACCCTTTTTTATGTATTTTTTTTTCCAAATTATTATTAACCAATTTATTTATACATTATGCAACTTATAAAAATAGTGCTCTTTTTGTCCTAAAAAAGATATCTAGTATTCATTCGTTGATTGATTACTTTCAAGTTACAAAACTATTAATATATTGAACTAACGAATTAAAAAACACGAAAAAAGAGAAGGAGGGAGTGTGAATTGTGATTATAAAAGGTTTTTAGAAAGCACAAAGATATAACAAATTTTTAAAATAAATTTTAAATAAAAAGTTGAAGAGGAGAAAATACACACAATCATTAATTGATTAAATGGTAATTAACGTTGAATTCGTTAAAAAGGATTGAGAAGAAGTTGAAATACTAAATATAAGACCCGATTTTTAAATTGAATTAAGTGGTCCAATAAATCGGATACTAGTGGTAAAAACCAATAAAATAAATAAATAATTAACACTTTAAAAAGTTGTGGTTTATACTTCATGTAAAACTAAAATACTCATTTTTAAAAATTTAAAAAAAAAAAAGTGTTAGCTACATAAATTTTAGCGACAACAAAATTAAACAATCACGCTTGCCAAAGAAATACTTGACATAGATCTAATAAAAAAAATTATGATTTTAGAAAAATTTAACAGTAAATACAAGTCCTAGAAAACAAATATTCAAAATACAAATAATAGAAAGAATATTCTCATATTCAACTACAAATTTTTCTACTTTTTTTTAAGTCATCTATCATCCTTATAAACACAAAAATTAATACATTATGTAAATTACAAAATATAATGTTTAAAATTTTCAGCAAAATTTAAATAACATCCACACAATACACAAGTATTCTTCTTGAAACTAAGTTTACAACCAAACTCTCATAACAACCAAATATTGAGCATCAAGTAATAGGTGGAGGTAGAAAAAAAGTTTGTAACTCAAAATAATTAACCCTTGAGCAATTATTTGTCAAAACTGGGTGTTTCTGCTTTGTATAAGGGTTCACTATTATGCCAAAGTATAACAGTTAGCTTCATTGACTAGAACACATTACTTGGATAAATAACTTTTTCGGCATTAATTATACATCTGCCAAATTTAATAATTTGGCTTCTTTGGCTCTACGAATATTTATGGACATTCATATGAAACCATATTCCAAACTAACTCTGTTGAAATTTGAGACCCACATGCCAAACTATAGACATATTAATGGACATTCAAATGAAACCATTTTTCATGTCATTTCTACTTTAATAAAGCCTACAGTTATCAAACAATTTCCTCTGTCATTTCTAATGAAACATTATTCTACTGTAATCAAAAAAGAAAGGACCAAAATAAATTATTTCAACATTACAATATTTATATGTTGCATCCTTTTAGTATTATAATTTACAGCCAAATCCTATTGCCTTGATTCTAACTACAAATATCACAAAACTTGACATAATGATTTTAAAAATATAACTTGACAATTTGATGATGTTTGAAATAGTTCAAAATCACCCTTACATATTGCATATGAATGCATGCTGTATGTTGCACTCCTCAATATTTCCATCAACTTGATAAGTAGCACATTTTTTCTCAATAAAAAATTTTGTAGACTTGAGTTTCAAGTTATATATATATATATATATATATATATATATATATATATATATATATATATATATATATATATATATATATATATATATATATATATATATATATATATATATATATATATATATATATATATATATATATATATATATATATATATATATATATATATATATATATATATATATACACACACGTGGTGTTAGTGTTTTAACAAGAAAACCATTCAAAGTTATATTTCAAACAACAATTAATTATAACTTGAAGACTTTATAATTTCAAAGTGGGTCTATCTATTTAACTTCAAAGTTATCATTATGTATTATAAATGCATTTCATTGTACTTTTTCAATTAAAATGAGTTTTTCATATGTTTATCAAAATAAATTTTAATAAAATTAATAATTTATTTATCTCACGAATGATTATTAATATAATATTTATTTTAATTTAATCAATCATTATCTTAATTTAAGAGACAAAATCTTTATTTTTAAATGATAAGTTGACACCGTTTTAAACACCAACATCGTATTCGTATACATATTGTGCATACGTTTTATGATCAAGATGAGTTTTTATATGGTTATTTAATACAATTGAGTTTTTATGATCATCTATTATCAAGCAATAACTATTCAATTGACCAAACTACCTATTACACACAAATTTACGCATGAGTACAATAATAAAATGTTTAATCTTACGGGTTACTTTCAACACAATACCTATTTTATTTTTATCAACAATGATTTTTATTTGAAAACTAAAATCTTTATTTTCAATTTTCAATTTTTTTTCTCTCTCCATCTCATTGGGTTCCCTTTTTTTTCTTTTTATTTTATATGATTATTTAATATAACTGAATTTTATGATAATAATTTATTTTACAATTTAATATTTCATTTCAGACATACGTGCTTCTAAATATATTTTATATAGTATCAAATAAATTCACCCGTGCGGGAGCACATATATCTTTCTAGTAAGTATATAGTAATTGATTTGTTTGATCAGTTATGTCAGCTTAGTTAATAGCTACAGAGACATTTGATTGTAGAGACTCATATTCAAATCTACGACACTTCATTTATTCAATCTTTAAAGAGTGATTTTTTGACAATTAAACTATTAAACAAGAAAATGTTCAAGTCTATATCTATTGCTTTTACAATTAGAATTGTGTGCATAGTAGAAATATTGTTGAATAATTGACTGCAGCTCCTAATGTTCGATTCACTTTATATGTTTGTTTTATTTTAAAGCCAAATGGGTCTCAAAAGAAAGTTCATCACTGAATTGGCACTGAACAATATCCAATATGAGGACAGGACAAGAATATCGGCCATGGAAGAAGTACTAATAGACAGATTAAACTATATCGTCATCTTTAGAGTCAGTTTTGGATTAAAAATCTATTGCATTGCACAAGTTTTTCCGATACTTCTGAACTATTAATACCCTACAATTTTTTTTTTTGATATAATTCTGAAACTAATTCCACATCTCTAATTTTAAAATTAAAATTATACTTTTAGGTTTCAAATAAAAGTAGACTTTTAGACTTCAACATTGTTTATTGTAGCGTTTTTGCAGGTTCTGATATCAAATGTTCATAAATCACAACTACTCAACTTGTATCATGTTCCATCATAGTTTATATGACTATAGCTTTCCCCACACAGGCAAATATTGCAAGAGATGTAGCCTCGATCTATTCGAGGCTGGAGCATCTTAAAAATCTTCATGTCAGTGAGACAAGCGTCAGAATACCAGATTCAGAGATACCAGAGAGAAAGGTGGCAAGAGGTGAAGCTAGGAAAGCAAGAGACAATACACCACTAAAAAAGGAGAAATAAAAATAACAGAATCTTGTTCAAGTTGTAATTTGTACAAGATACTGAAATTCAATTTACAGAGATCAAGTAAAGAAAGGTTGAAACATATACTCTCATCCTAAGTTACACCAGTTTTGGAGATAAACCCTAACATTGGTCCAGCTTAGTTGGGGAAAATCTGTTGACATGTCAGAGTTTCATGTTCAGATAGTCTAGGTACTTAACTGATTAGCAAGGACATCTATATAGATAAGCATTGGAATGAAATGTTTCCTTGAACTGTATGTAATCAATTAATTGAATAACTAAACAGTTACAAAACTATTTTCTTGATATTCTAAAACAAATTCAACTAAATATATAAAGTATAACTGTACTTAGCTTCATGACATAAGCTCGTCAAAACATACTTACCAACACTGAATGGTCTCTCCATCTCCATATCTAACAGGCACGATACTGATTCTCTCGGAGATAGCTATTCCACATAAATGATACCTTCTTCATCAGGCTCTTCATAGTCCCAATCAGGATCATCATCATTTTCTGATGAATTCAACTGCTCAGCATCATCTTTGTCCGCAGATGAATCCAACTGTTCCACATCTTGAGTTGTTCCACTCTTCTCGTTCTTAATTTTATCTAATATTGCAATGACCTGAAAATTTGAAGTGGTGGAGGCACCAGAACAAAAAAAGCCCACAGCAGATCAATAAAAAGTGGCATACAAGTTACTGAAATAGAGAAAAGAACGGCGCGCATAAGTGAGCGCCAACATTGGCCATGAAAACATGCTGACTATATTTGAATCATCCCAGAGTAACATTTATTACATCAAAATTATCATAAAATTCTAAATATCATTTTAAAATTTAATGATATGCACATACAATGTAAAAAAGGATTACACGGATCTGATTACAAATAATTAACAAAATAAAAGACAGTAGAATAGTATATGATCTTGTTGGGGAAAAATGTGCAAACCACAATTCTATCATCAGAAAAAAAGACCGAAAAGCAAGCAAAGAACCCACCCACCCTCTTCCTTCTAAAACACTGCTTTGATGAGAGTAGCAGCAATAGAAGTTGTTTATACAAGTGGCAATAAAAGTCTATTATCCATTTTATTCTCATGCATGACTTATATACAATAACATGTAGCAGTTACCTGTGTAGCAACAAGGGTCTATAAGGAGAAGCTGGGAGAGTGGGAGAAATTACAGAATAAGTTTTGATCTATGTCAGCTCAAGGTCATTCGATTATAGATAAAGTAGATAGAAGATAAATCCTAATTAGCAATTGTAATAAAAAGAGGATCAACATCCATTAAGTATTGGAATATGACCCAGAACTAAGCAACATTAATAGAAGTGAGGAGGAAAATGTGGCTTTAAATAGAGAAAATGTTACCCTGCTTCCTCTCTCAATAGATTCATCCTCGAGAAAGCGAATCTCAGGAGTTAATCGCAACCTCATACGCTTTCCCAACTCACTTCGAACATATTTAGCTTTTGATTTCAACCCAGCCATGGCTACTTGCTTCCCTCTTTCATCTCCAAAAACCGATACATACACCTTCACTACCTACACTAAAGGCATTGAGTCATATAATAACAAATACTTCCCTAATCTAGTTCTGGATAGAAAAATAATAAAAAAACAATTGTTCATGAATTTCCCCAAAATGAGAAAACGATAAAGAAGCAATTACAACGGAGACAGAGTGAAACCTGTAAATCGGCGGTGATTTCAACATCGGTGATGGTGGTGACAGACGAGAGGTAAGTATCAGCACCAAAGGAAGCTTCTGGAAGAATCGCAAACAGCAATACATTATCGGTGATAAGCATTTCAGAGAGTTCTCTTCTAATTTGTTTAGCAACCATTTTAACTCTCTTTGGTTTCGCCATACACTTTATCATTCTTGAACCAACAACCGCTTTCTTCGTGTTCGTGTTGATTGTGCTTTGGAGGACCCACCCATGCTTCAGTCCCTGTGCAGTGGCGGTTACGCGGATGTTGTTGTTGCATCGGCAACAAGGTGTGAGCGACGGCGGCAGCGCCGTGTGAAACAGTTGCGTCGTGCTCATTGCTTTAATAATTTTGAAATAAAATTGAAATTGAAGCTCCCTCTAATCTACTCTATCCTATTATTTTCTTCTTCTTCTTTGTCCCTTCAATATCAGATAACGGTACCGCACCAAATCAATTGGACAAATATGTCAAAAAGGCCCAAAACAAAAACAACATTGCTGGGCTTTTTATTAGGCCCGTATTATAAAGAATTTCTATTTCTTCATATAGTGAAAAGAAAAATTCTATGCATTTTCTAAAATGTCTCTGGAAATCAGAAATATATTTTCGGTGTGTATCATTTTTTACTAAACCATATCTAAAAACTGGAAATACATATGCGGAACATACCGGAAATATATTTCTGATTTTTGTGCAGACGGGACCAGAAAGTTTTATGCTGACAGGTGGGTCGGTTTGCACGTTGTTTCGCATTGAATTCAAAGACGTAAACAATAAAACATACTACAAAGACATGTAGAAATATATAACAATAATCAGTACAAAAGCTGCATGTAGTCAATGTAGGGGGTATCCCAAAATATTATCCAAATACATAAAAAAAAAACAATAACCAAAATACATAGACAACATCAAATACTATTGGGTATGACGGACTCTGAGACGGCTCGTCACCCTTCCGGCATTTCTCTGTTGCCTCTTGTACTGCAGAGCCCCCTGAGCCTCCGCCATGATGGCGTCTAAAACACCTCTGACATCAGATCTATCGGGAAACAAACTTCCATCAATATTTGCATACGCAATGTCCATGATACAACGACTCTTAGGCAACACATCAGTGGCATGATCGGCATGTGTCTGCTCCTTCTCTATAATCTCCTAATGAGCTGGCCTCGGTGGGTTTCCTAGAGCATCTTGTACCATGTATGGATGGGACACCCTGAAGAATCATATGATATAATCGTCCATGTAGCTCCAGTCGTCTGGAGCAATGGTACTCTAGGCCTCATCTTGAAAAATATGATTCTCATAATCATCAAACAAGACATCTATATACATGCGTTTCACCAGGGGAGTAGCAGATACAGTAGGATCCCGGGGAATGTGTCGGGTGTACCCGAACTGACGTATGACGCACTCAGGCATATAAGCAGCTGTCTTACGCGACCTGCGAGCCAACCATCCCGTAAATAGAAGAACATCATCAAATGGTATCATGTCACGGTGGTCGTGGTATGAATGGAAATGTATGTCCTCAAACACCATCCAGTCAATATACACCTGGAACGGCTTTGTCGCCTAGTTCCCTCGGAGCAGGTCGTATGCAGTGGCATGAGGCTTAACTTCATTATAATCAGTAGCTAGTGAACAACCCTAGATGCGAGGGAAGTGGATTAGGATCCAGCCATGAAATAATTATTATTATTAATTAGTAACGGAATCACAATAATTAACAAAATGTTACGAAGACCAAGAAAGTTTACCGTCAGGAGTATGATGTTGCCATTCATCTATTTCGTCTTCTATTTACATCATTTAGACAACTTCGTATACAAGTACGCCAAACAAGTTGTCCCTCAGTTCCACTGGTGGATCTGATCAAAATTATCAAAGTACCCCAGGTACACCACATCTGTGTAAGTGGAACTAGTGTCCACAAAAATTTGTGTGCCAACCAGAAACAAAAGGTATGCTCTCATAGAAAACCTCTGGTGTGTGGTAACCTGCTCGGGATCACTATGAGCCTCTCGTGCACACCTAATATCATTCATGAACACTCTCTTCAAATAACTATACCTGACGTGCGCACCACGGGTAAAGTCCAACTCAACCATGGCACTCTCGGGGGAAACTCCCAATTTCTCTACCAGCATATCCAACACCTCCTCTTTGTCAATTCTTTCATGGTCTAAAAATGTCCTTATAATCTGGAGATGCAGCAGAGATGCGACGTTGTCCAATGTGATCGTCATCTCACCATGTGGTAGATGGAACGACGGTGTCTCATGGTGCCACCACTCAAGAAAAGTGTTAATCATACCATGGTTAACGATGCTATAACCATACTGGGCCAAATCTTTTAACCATATAAGCATCAATATCTCATTAAAACCATGGCTCAACAGGGGGTATGATTTTATTGATCTTCTGTCCATGGTTAATAACCTTTAGCGAATTACGTTCCTGCATTCATGATTCACAAAATTCATTAAACAAAATCCATAGTAAAAATGTAATAGAAGGAACAAGTCAAAATTCATACCTCTCCGTCCTATATATATCTAGCAACATGGTCCGGGTAAAGAAGCAACAGAGATAAATTAAACGGTTCTCCTCCAAAAACCTGAGGCGCTGTAGGAGTCGGCTTGGGTGCATGAGATATCTGGGGTGCTGCCTGGGGTGATGGCTCAGGTGCCTGAGATGTATGGGGTGCTGCCTGAGGTGTCAATTCAAATGCCTCAGGTTCTTGGGACGAAGGTTCTGGATGGGCGTGAGGTGTCTCATGTGTGACCTTTGGTGTTGGATGGTGAAACAACCGGCTGAAAATCATCAAACAATGAAGTCGTCGTCGAACGTATTTTATCCCACATGAAGGGAAAGGTAAACATCGAGAAAACCTGAGAAGGGAGAAGTCACGGTCTTGTGACCGAGAGATCGGGTAAGGGAGTCTGTTATGTAAGTGGAAGGTATTAGCACCCCACACGCATGTAGTACTCTACGGTATCCACTCTTGTTATCTATCTTGTGGGTGTGTTTAATCTATGTTTACTGTTTATTGCTAAGGAAGAATGCATGCAAAAGAAAGGGGAAAATAATGTAGGGAAAATAAAGTTGTACTCGCTTGGGCCTTACCCAATGCATACATATCCTTTTTGAGGAATTAGATCTACCGTAGTTCGGCTCACATGTTTTTGTTTGTTTTGTATTTTTTATGGACGATGTTAATTTCGCCTTCTTCCGCAGCTTGACCTTTGGAGACTCACGCGTTGGCACAGAAGTAAATTAATCATGTCCTTGCTTGAAAAAGGTTTTGAGTTATGCTGTGATACGGTGGGAGAACTGACTTAGTTGTTTTGCATTTTATCATAAATGTCGCGGATAGCAAGAGTCGCCACCGACTTTTCTTTTATCCAATAAAGGAAAGGGTGAAAAGAACAGGAAAGACCTTTGAGATATTTTCTTGAGTTCGAGGGGTAGGTTATGAAAAGGGAAGGTATTAACACCCTTTTCATCTGTAGTTATCTACAGGCTCTTAGTTGCTTGCTAAATCACTTTTTGAAATTGCTTTGATTGAAATGTGTTTGCGGTGGGTTTTGAAAGTATTTTTGAAATGCGCATTCGTTTAGGAAAACTTTGTAATTATTCTCGTCTCTATAAGAATGCATACAAAGTGTTGGACTTTTTGAAAATATTTCAATATTTTTAAAAGTGTTTGGTGTGTTTGAAAAGGTGTTTGTTTTTGAAGATGGATTGTGAGCAAGCAACTAAGAACGTTCTACCTACTCAAAAGTATTTTGTTCATTTCTCCCTTCCTTTGACATTGTTATCTTACCATTGATTGGTAAGTAGCCTTATCTTTGGATGTAAAGGGACGGGCGTGGGTCATCGTATAGTCATGAATAGCAATGTTGTGAGATATCTTAGTGTTTCTCTTAAGGGACTAAGATCATTTGTAAGGCAACATTCGTAACGTCATCGAGGGACTATGATCTTGTATTTTTCATTTGTTTTAGCTAACATGTCTCACATGCATATCATGTCCATTTATTTAAGGCAACAAAGTGGAGTTAACCCTAGAGGTGCAAAGTGTGCAAGTGTTTTGTATTTTATGCTTGATTTTGTCTTGGATTAGGGTTTTCTAAGTGTTGATTTTATCTTTCCATACAAACCCTAAGTTATTAGCATTTATATGAAAGCGATAAATTACGGAAAATAAATATCCTACGCTATTACATCATTTGAGGATGAGAATACAAGTTTATGAATGGGGATTGCAAGAAATTAAACCTAATTATCTATTACAACCATATTGAACTTGAATAATATATAAGAATTGAAATGTATATAATATACAAGGAAATAAATGGTCAAGGAAATAAATATGATGTATAAAGAAAGAGGCAAATGTTTTTGTTTTGGAATTTTTATTAAGAAAATGTTTTAAGTGAATTAAAACGAGTTAAACCTAAATTATCAATTCATTTAAGAAAAAGAATTAAATTTGCTTAAGAAAATATTTTTGGTCTTTTTTGTTTTAAAAGGAATAAAATAAAAATATACTAAATATCTAAATATAAAATATAAAATATTTTTGGTATTTTTGATTAATAAAAATAATAATAATAATAATAATAAATGATAAAGGAAATAAAATAAGATGAAAATATAAGATTAAAGTCAGGGGTGTGTTGCTGGAAGCAAAAATGAGAGAGCCCAGAAGTTCTGGCCCAGGCGCACTGCAGTCCAGAAGGAAAATGTTAAGAAGATAGAGAAAATGGTAGCGCTGAAACAAGTAAATAGGGAGTGATGCTGGAAGAAAAAATGAGAAAAAAACCCAGAAGTTAGACGCACTGCAGTCCAGAAGGAAAATGTTATGAAAATAGAGAAAATGGGATCGCTGAAACAAGTAAAGAGGGAGGGACACAGGACACTGGAAGCAAATATGATGAAGCCCAGAAGTTCTGTCTCAGGCGCGCTATTAACAAAAATGAAACAAAAATGTTAAGAAATAAAAATAAAAGGTGCTCCTGGGGCTAGAACCCAGGACCCTTAACATAAATTCCTTACATGCGCACTCTCTACCACTAGGGTGGCTATACATCCAGTATTATAAACAAAACCATAAATATATATTACAAAATCAATTCTGATGATGAACTTCATCTTCTTCCTCGCGCCAGCCAGAGCATCTGCAACTCATTCATTTCTCAACCAAAATGGAAAATGCAAACATGAAAGTTATGGAAAATTTCATCATGGTTCCAGAAGTATAAAGCATTAAAACTATAAATCAGAAACAAACATGAATTTTTCTAGCCCTAATCTGAACCCTAAC